GCATACGCTGCCAGGCCTGCACGTCCAGGCCAGACGGACCACCGGATCCCTTCATACTGCCAGCCACCCTCTTAATGTCTGCTGCTGAAATACCTTCAAATATTATGTCATTGACCGGTGCTGCATCATTCTCCAACAAAACGGTTTCAGGTGGCTCCACAGGAGTCGGGTGCTTATCGCGAAGTACATCCAGAACCGTCGCACCAGTGGAAGGTACTGCGATTTCATTTGGCTTGAGAGGTCTACCACCACCACCCTGGGATAAACCCGCCATGGCACGATGTAAGTTGCCACGGTGAACGAGATTCGCAAACACTGTATCCGACATAACATCGGACTCGCTAGCTGAATGGCTACCAATCGGAATATGAGCCTGTATACATCTCCCTTCCGAGAGCAGTTCAGAGAGATGACCAGACGACCAGCTGTCTAGGCGCCGCCGCAGGTGCAACACGTTGTCCTGACTCGTGCTATCCCGACCAGGGCGCTGAAGAAGAACGTGACAAGCAACTGCCACGCCTTCCCAAGCGACGCAACTTGTAGGACTGTTACTAGCAAATGATGAAATGAAATCAGCTATTAGCTGAACAAATTGTTTACCAACTGAGCCAGAAGGCACGATGAACAGATTCCGTCTCCAGGTGACCACCTTCTGATATGACTGGCGCATCCAATCAATTAACTCAGGACCTCTACCCCATATGGATGAGGATACATCAGCAGCGTCACCCACCACCGGACCAGCGGAAATGATTCCAGGGCGGGGAGCAGTTGCAGTCACAGCAGCCGGCGCAGGACGAGGATTGTCACGAAGGAGAGAATCACCAATCACCTGGCCTCCATTCCGGGTCATATCCACACGCACACATTGTCCATTTGGGGTCCCACATTCCGAGATACTGGACACAATGGACCCGGTGCTATTATCATTTTCTCTCAAGAGCGGAGGGACAGGCAGTTCCACACGCAATGACTTCCGAGGCAGTGTCCCGGAATCAATAGTCGGCGATGACGCAGCAGCGGAGTTGCAAGTCACTATTGTGCGAGATTGCGAAATACATGTAGATGACACGGTACCGGAGACAGATGACACGGAGCCCGAGCCCGGCACCTCCCGTGAGCCCTCCCGTGAGCTGCGGGGTACCCAACCAGGGGCACAAACAGGCGGAGCGTCCGGCAAAGAACCTATAGCTCCGACTACAACAGCTGTGGCTTGCAGATTGACATTACCAAAGTTTGTACATTTATCGTCTCTCCCTGGGTAACAATTAATAGTAGTAGTAGTAGTAGTAGTAGTAGTAGTAGTAGTAGTAGTAGTAGTAGTAGTAGTAGTAGTAGTAGTAGTAGTAGTAGTAGTAGTAGTAGTAGTAGTAGTAGTAGTAGTAGTAGTAGTAGTAGTAGTAGTAGTAGTAGTAGTAGTAGTAGTAGTAGTAGTAGTAGTAGTAGTAGTAGTAGTAGTAGTAGTAGTAGTAGTAGTAGTAGTAGTAGTAGTAGTAGTAGTAGTAGTAGTAGTAGTAGTAGTAGTAGTAGTAGTAGTAGTAGTAGTAGTAGTAGTAGTAGTAGTAGTAGTAGTAGTAGTAGTAGTAGTAGTAGTAGTAGTAGTAGTAGTAGTAGTAGTAGTAGTAGTAGTAGTAGTAGTAGTAGTAGTAGTAGTAGTAGTAGTAGTAGTAGTAGTAGTAGTAGTAGTAGTAGTAGTAGTAGTAGTAGTAGTAGTAGTAGTAGTAGTAGTAGTAGTAGTAGTAGTAGTAGTAGTAGTAGTAGTAGTAGTAGTAGTAGTAGTAGTAGTAGTAGTAGTAGTAGTAGTAGTAGTAGTAGTAGTAGTAGTAGTAGTAGTAGTAGTAGTAGTAGTAGTAGTAGTAGTAGTAGTAGTAGTAGTAGTAGTAGTAGTAGTAGTAGTAGTAGTAGTAGTAGTAGTAGTAGTAGTAGTAGTAGTAGTAGTAGTAGTAGTAGTAGTAGTAGTAGTAGTAGTAGTAGTAGTAGTAGTAGTAGTAGTAGTAGTAGTAGTAGTAGTAGTAGTAGTAGTAGTAGTAGTAGTAGTAGTAGTAGTAGTAGTAGTAGTAGTAGTAGTAGTAGTAGTAGTAGTAGTAGTAGTAGTAGTAGTAGTAGTAGTAGTAGTAGTAGTAGTAGTAGTAGTAGTAGTAGTAGTAGTAGTAGTAGTAGTAGTAGTAGTAGTAGTAGTAGTAGTAGTAGTAGTAGTAGTAGTAGTAGTAGTAGTAGTAGTAGTAGTAGTAGTAGTAGTAGTAGTAGTAGTAGTAGTAGTAGTAGTAGTAGTAGTAGTAGTAGTAGTAGTAGTAGTAGTAGTAGTAGTAGTAGTAGTAGTAGTAGTAGTAGTAGTAGTAGTAGTAGTAGTAGTAGTAGTAGTAGTAGTAGTAGTAGTAGTAGTAGTAGTAGTAGTAGTAGTAGTAGTAGTAGTAGTAGTAGTAGTAGTAGTAGTAGTAGTAGTAGTAGTAGTAGTAGTAGTAGTAGTAGTAGTAGTAGTAGTAGTAGTAGTAGTAGTAGTAGTAGTAGTAGTAGTAGTAGTAGTAGTAGTAGTAGTAGTAGTAGTAGTAGTAGTAGTAGTAGTAGTAGTAGTAGTAGTAGTAGTAGTAGTAGTAGTAGTAGTAGTAGTAGTAGTAGTAGTAGTAGTAGTAGTAGTAGTAGTAGTAGTAGTAGTAGTAGTAGTAGTAGTAGTAGTAGTAGTAGTAGTAGTAGTAGTAGTAGTAGTAGTAGTAGTAGTAGTAGTAGTAGTAGTAGTAGTAGTAGTAGTAACAAGGCCTCTTTTACGGGCAAATGACGCATATGCGTAAACCAAAAGCAACAAGAAACTCAATAAACAATGTCCAACAAAAGAATCTGCTGACTGCAAAAAAGGACACAAGGTAAAACTCAAGTCCAATAGATCGCGTATGGTACGTATGTGTGAACAAACCAAAAGCCGATTGAGTGGTGAATGTGGAATGTGTAAGTTGAAAACTCGAGTCTGATAAATAGCCTATTGGGGGTATATGTGTAAAAACATCATAAACCAATAGGGTGGTGGATGTATAATTTGTCTGCGTGTGAATGCTTATTTCGATCTGTCCGATAAACAAAACAAAACAAACTATTATAAAAGTAGAACAAAAAAAAAAAAAAAACAAAAAACAAAAAAACAAAAAAAACAAAGACATGCTCAAAAACAGATATGTCCGTTACGTCACAGCATCCGTTTAGGATCGGCCACACAGCCCCATGCCACTACCGGAGCAGCCTGCACTCCGTGACAAACGAATTGCCACGGCGTACGCCCCGAGCTCCCCGGCATCCACGCAGACAGGTTACGGCCCAGCGGAGGAGGCAGAAGGCAATCTTGGCACGAAGATGGTGCATGACGACGGAGTACTGTAGGTCAGAGTGCTTCTCCACCACGCGCTGAACAAGCCGCTTCAGGAACATTCCACACTCTGCCCCAGCCATGCCATTCGTAGCAAACACCAACGGAGTGAAGGCACCTCGCTCGACGTCTGTGATCCTCTGGCAGTATTTTCGCTTCTTCTCCAACTCGCTGGTGCGCAGTTGGCCAAGGGCTTCCGAACGCGACAGCAGGGACGCTTTAGGGTGGGTGACCCTAACATCAAAGAAAGCGTCCTGCTGCCTTGTCCAGAAACCCCCGGCCCTGATGTCCAAACGAGCTTCAGCGCTGCGATTGGCGGTCCGGCCGGCGAGCACCTCGCCATCGAGAGGGAGCAGTCTAGGCTCGACCTCCACGTCTGGCACGACATCGCCAAGGACAGCCGCCAGGGTGTCCCGGATTTCGTCATGACGTGCCATCGGGTACCCCCCATGTGGACACGTCATCGAGTGGTGTAGGGTGGTGTCCGCTCCACAAGCGCATTTGCACGGGACATCCAGTGGCAGGTACCCATAGCGTATGCACACCGCATCTCGAAAGTCGGACTTGTTCAGGATTGTCCGGTGCGCAGTAAGCGGGGCACACGTCAGCCATGACGACACGCCCTTCTCACCGGCGATATCTGTGAGGCATTTCTGAGGCGGTGGCAGATCGGGATACAACGCCGCGACTAGTGCCTTCTGCGACTTCTCCTTGTCCTTGCGACGTGAGACCGCTCGCTTGCGGGACTCGGTAACGGCTGCGACCGACGGGTTATCACAAACCGGCTGGGTGGTGTGGACCCCAGGTTCTGGCCGGGTCACAGGTCCAGGAGGATCACGAACGGACGCAGCAGAAGACGCAGCAGAAGCAGAAGCAACCGACAATGGTGGATTCCGGTGCGATGCTAAAGACACCTCCTCGCCATCGGGCACGGACGCAGCAGAAGCAGAAGCAACCGACAAGGGTGGATTCTGAGGCGATGCCAAAGACACCTCCTCGCCATCGGGGACGGCACTCCCCGAACCATCACCATCATAGTAGTAGTAGTAGTAGTAGTAGTAGTAGTAGTAGTAGTAGTAGTAGTAGTAGTAGTAGTAGTAGTAGTAGTAGTAGTAGTAGTAGTAGTAGTAGTAGTAGTAGTAGTAGTAGTAGTAGTAGTAGTAGTAGTAGTAGTAGTAGTAGTAGTAGTAGTAGTAGTAGTAGTAGTAGTAGTAGTAGTAGTAGTAGTAGTAGTAGTAGTAGTAGTAGTAGTAGTAGTAGTAGTAGTAGTAGTAGTAGTAGTAGTAGTAGTAGTAGTAGTAGTAGTAGTAGTAGTAGTAGTAGTAGTAGTAGTAGTAGTAGTAGTAGTAGTAGTAGTAGTAGTAGTAGTAGTAGTAGTAGTAGTAGTAGTAGTAGTAGTAGTAGTAGTAGTAGTAGTAGTAGTAGTAGTAGTAGTAGTAGTAGTAGTAGTAGTAGTAGTAGTAGTAGTAGTAGTAGTAGTAGTAGTAGTAGTAGTAGTAGTAGTAGTAGTAGTAGTAGTAGTAGTAGTAGTAGTAGTAGTAGTAGTAGTAGTAGTAGTAGTAGTAGTAGTAGTAGTAGTAGTAGTAGTAGTAGTAGTAGTAGTAGTAGTAGTAGTAGTAGTAGTAGTAGTAGTAGTAGTAGTAGTAGTAGTAGTAGTAGTAGTAGTAGTAGTAGTAGTAGTAGTAGTAGTAGTAGTAGTAGTAGTAGTAGTAGTAGTAGTAGTAGTAGTAGTAGTAGTAGTAGTAGTAGTAGTAGTAGTAGTAGTAGTAGTAGTAGTAGTAGTAGTAGTAGTAGTAGTAGTAGTAGTAGTAGTAGTAGTAGTAGTAGTAGTAGTAGTAGTAGTAGTAGTAGTAGTAGTAGTAGTAGTAGTAGTAGTAGTAGTAGTAGTAGTAGTAGTAGTAGTAGTAGTAGTAGTAGTAGTAGTAGTAGTAGTAGTAGTAGTAGTAGTAGTAGTAGTAGTAGTAGTAGTAGTAGTAGTAGTAGTAGTAGTAGTAGTAGTAGTAGTAGTAGTAGTAGTAGTAGTAGTAGTAGTAGTAGTAGTAGTAGTAGTAGTAGTAGTAGTAGTAGTAGTAGTAGTAGTAGTAGTAGTAGTAGTAGTAGTAGTAGTAGTAGTAGTAGTAGTAGTAGTAGTAGTAGTAGTAGTAGTAGTAGTAGTAGTAGTAGTAGTAGTAGTAGTAGTAGTAGTAGTAGTAGTAGTAGTAGTAGTAGTAGTAGTAGTAGTAGTAGTAGTAGTAGTAGTAGTAGTAGTAGTAGTAGTAGTAGTAGTAGTAGTAGTAGTAGTAGTAGTAGTAGTAGTAGTAGTAGTAGTAGTAGTAGTAGTAGTAGTAGTAGTAGTAGTAGTAGTAGTAGTAGTAGTAGTAGTAGTAGTAGTAGTAGTAGTAGTAGTAGTAGTAGTAGTAGTAGTAGTAGTAGTAGTAGTAGTAGTAGTAGTAGTAGTAGTAGTAGTAGTAGTAGTAGTAGTAGTAGTAGTAGTAGTAGTAGTAGTAGTAGTAGTAGTAGTAGTAGTAGTAGTAGTAGTAGTAGTAGTAGTAGTAGTAGTAGTAGTAGTAGTAGTAGTAGTAGTAGTAGTAGTAGTAGTAGTAGTAGTAGTAGTAGTAGTAGTAGTAGTAGTAGTAGTAGTAGTAGTAGTAGTAGTAGTAGTAGTAGTAGTAGTAGTAGTAGTAGTAGTAGTAGTAGTAGTAGTAGTAGTAGTAGTAGTAGTAGTAGTAGTAGTAGTAGTAGTAGTAGTAGTAGTAGTAGTAGTAGTAGTAGTAGTAGTAGTAGTAGTAGTAGTAGTAGTAGTAGTAGTAGTAGTAGTAGTAGTAGTAGTAGTAGTAGTAGTAGTAGTAGTAGTAGTAGTAGTAGTAGTAGTAGTAGTAGTAGTAGTAGTAGTAGTAGTAGTAGTAGTAGTAGTAGTAGTAGTAGTAGTAGTAGTAGTAGTAGTAGTAGTAGTAGTAGTAGTAGTAGTAGTAGTAGTAGTAGTAGTAGTAGTAGTAGTAGTAGTAGTAGTAGTAGTAGTAGTAGTAGTAGTAGTAGTAGTAGTAGTAGTAGTAGTAGTAGTAGTAGTAGTAGTAGTAGTAGTAGTAGTAGTAGTAGTAGTAGTAGTAGTAGTAGTAGTAGTAGTAGTAGTAGTAGTAGTAGTAGTAGTAGTAGTAGTAGTAGTAGTAGTAGTAGTAGTAGTAGTAGTAGTAGTAGTAGTAGTAGTAGTAGTAGTAGTAGTAGTAGTAGTAGTAGTAGTAGTAGTAGTAGTAGTAGTAGTAGTAGTAGTAGTAGTAGTAGTAGTAGTAGTAGTAGTAGTAGTAGTAGTAGTAGTAGTAGTAGTAGTAGTAGTAGTAGTAGTAGTAGTAGTAGTAGTAGTAGTAGTAGTAGTAGTAGTAGTAGTAGTAGTAGTAGTAGTAGTAGTAGTAGTAGTAGTAGTAGTAGTAGTAGTAGTAGTAGTAGTAGTAGTAGTAGTAGTAGTAGTAGTAGTAGTAGTAGTAGTAGTAGTAGTAGTAGTAGTAGTAGTAGTAGTAGTAGTAGTAGTAGTAGTAGTAGTAGTAGTAGTAGTAGTAGTAGTAGTAGTAGTAGTAGTAGTAGTAGTAGTAGTAGCTAGTAGTAGTAGTAGCAGTAGTAGTAGTAGTAGTAGTAGTAGTAGTAGTAGTAGTAGTAGTAGTAGTAGTAGTAGTAGTAGTAGTAGTAGTAGTAGTAGTAGTAGTAGTAGTAGTAGTAGTAGTAGTAGTAGTAGTAGTAGTAGTAGTAGTAGTAGTAGTAGTAGTAGTAGTAGTAGTAGTAGTAGTAGTAGTAGTAGTAGTAGTAGTAGTAGTAGTAGTAGTAGTAGTAGTAGTAGTAGTAGTAGTAGTAGTCGTAGTAGTAGTAGTAGTAGTAGTAGTAGTAGTAGTAGTAGTAGTAGTAGTAGTAGTAGTAGTAGTAGTAGTAGTAGTAGTAGTAGTAGTAGTAGTAGTAGTAGTAGTAGTAGTAGTAGTAGTAGTAGTAGTAGTAGTAGTAGTAGTAGTAGTAGTAGTAGTAGTAGTAGTAGTAGTAGTAGTAGTAGTAGTAGTAGTAGTAGTAGTAGTAGTAGTAGTAGTAGTAGTAGTAGTAGTAGTAGTAGTAGTAGTAGTAGTAGTAGTAGTAGTAGTAGTAGTAGTAGTAGTAGTAGTAGTAGTAGTAGTAGTAGTAGTAGTAGTAGTAGTAGTAGTAGTAGTAGTAGTAGTAGTAGTGGAAACGTCACCGTACTGGTAGTAGCGATGCTTGGATGGTTTTTGCGGGTTTGCTTTTTGTTTTTGTATTCCCTAGTTGGCTTGATTCTTTTATTTTATTTTATTTTCTGATTGGATTTTCCTATTTATTTGATTTGATTTTTCTTGAATGGTTTTGTCACCATTGCTTTTCTTGCTTGCGCTTTTCAGTTTCTTCTTTCTGATACCCGGTTTGTTTTCAAATAAAGGCGAAGTTCAGTAGTAGTAGTAGTAGTAGTAGTAGTAGTAGTAGTAGTAGTAGTAGTAGTAGTAGTAGTAGTAGTAGTAGTAGTAGTAGTAGTAGTAGTAGTAGTAGTAGTAGTAGTAGTAGTAGTAGTAGTAGTAGTAGTAGTAGTAGTAGTAGTAGTAGTAGTAGTAGTAGTAGTAGTAGTAGTAGTAGTAGTAGTAGTAGTAGTAGTAGTAGTAGTAGTAGTAGTAGTAGTAGTAGTAGTAGTAGTAGTAGTGTGCCCTATGCGACGGCTAACCGGACTGATGAGGCTCGGCTGGACATTCGTGCCCGGGGCTTCTGGACAAGGCAGCAAGACGCTTATTTTGATGTTAGGGTAACCCACCCTAAGGCGTCTGTGCTGTCTGGTCCAGAAGTCCTTAACCAACTCAGGGCCCATGAACGGCAAAAGAAGCAGCAGTACGGTGCCAGGGTCACTGAAGTCGAGAGAGGCTCTTTCACCCCTCTTGTGTTCGCCACGAATGGGATGGCGGGGCCGGAGTGCTCACGATTCCTGGCGACACTTGCCGGTCGGCTCGCGGAGCGCAATAAAGACATCCGGTATTCAAGCATCGTCAGTGCATTGCGTGTTCGGCTGGCATTCTGCCTCGTACGGTGGGCAATAACCTGCTTTCGCGGTTGCCGATCATCTTACCAGCGTCGCGTCCGCTCGTCGTTGTTGGTGCAGTGTCGACAGGCTGCCGGCTGAGATTCAGTGTCCATGCGTCAATCTGGACAATATAACAATAGCACTTGTGTGCTTACCATGGTATTTTTTTGCCCGTAAAAGTGGTTTGGTCAGTAGTAGTAGTAGTAGTAGTAGTAGTAGTAGTAGTAGTAGTAGTAGTAGTAGTAGTAGTAGTAGTAGTAGTAGTAGTAGTAGTAGTAGTAGTAGTAGTAGTAGTAGTAGTAGTAGTAGTAGTAGTAGTAGTAGTAGTAGTAGTAGTAGTAGTAGTAGTAGTAGTAGTAGTAGTAGTAGTAGTAGTAGTAGTAGTAGTAGTAGTAGTAGTAGTAGTAGTAGTAGTAGTAGTAGTAGTAGTAGTAGTAGTAGTAGTAGTAGTAGTAGTAGTAGTAGTAGTAGTAGTAGTAGTAGTAGTAGTAGTAGTAGTAGTAGTAGTAGTAGTAGTAGTAGTAGTAGTAGTAGTAGTAGTAGTAGTAGTAGTAGTAGTAGTAGTAGTAGTAGTAGTAGTAGTAGTAGTAGTAGTAGTAGTAGTAGTAGTAGTAGTAGTAGTAGTAGTAGTAGTAGTAGTAGTAGTAGTAGTAGTAGTAGTAGTAGTAGTAGTAGTAGTAGTAGTAGTAGTAGTAGTAGTAGTAGTAGTAGTAGTAGTAGTAGTAGTAGTAGTAGTAGTAGTAGTAGTAGTAGTAGTAGTAGTAGTAGTAGTAGTAGTAGTAGTAGTAGTAGTAGTAGTAGTAGTAGTAGTAGTAGTAGTAGTAGTAGTAGTAGTAGTAGTAGTAGTAGTAGTAGTAGTAGTAGTAGTAGTAGTAGTAGTAGTAGTAGTAGTAGTAGTAGTAGTAGTAGTAGTAGTAGTAGTAGTAGTAGTAGTAGTAGTAGTAGTAGTAGTAGTAGTAGTAGTAGTAGTAGTAGTAGTAGTAGTATTTATTTTGTTGTTAGGGAAATCCCTACAGACGTTGCCGTCTTTTTACAGGGAACCATAAGTGCTCTTTGCAGAGCTAAATGAAAGCGGATAGTTGATCAGCTTGGCGACACAACATAGGCAGAGAATTCTACCGATCAGCGCCAAGGAAAGACACAGAGAACGTGCCATATCTAATTTTAGCAGCAGGCAAAGAAATAGACGAGAAGGATTGTCCTCTATTGCGCCTATCTGTACAAGTAGCAGCTGATTGTAGAGTGAACATAGAGGAAAGCAGGGGACTTGGCAGCTTGTTGATACATCGGAACACAAAGACAAAAAGTCGCAAGTTGAGGCGAGACTGCAGCGAGCATAATTTAGCATGCTGCAAAATGAAGCAGTTGGTGTGGGGGTAGAAAGGCCGAAGACCTTCTTCATACCAGTGGGACTTAGTGTAACAAGGCGAGAATACAGATATGAAGTTAAACAGGGCAGATACGAGTTCCTGGCATACTCAATGGCGGATATTATTAGGTATAAGTAAAATATGCGGCTTGTGTCATGATCTACTGGATGGCGGCATCGCCGGAACGCTCCTACTTTCTTATAAACAGACGTGCAAACATGGTCAACCTGGTCTTCAAACGTAAGGTGCTCATCAATAATCAGACTGAGATAGCGAGCAGTTGGGGAAGAGGTAATATCTACATAACCGCATGCAATGAACAGATCTGGGGCGAGTGAAAGAGGCTTCCTCCGGAGCACCATGAATTTCGTTTTCACGGGATTCAAGATCAGGCCAATACTTTCCAGGTATGTCTGTAGCAGGTTCAAGTCGCTTGTTAGTTTGTGCTGGAGCTGGTCAATTGACTTAGAGGCGAGGTAGAAGGCTATGTCATCAGCGTATTGCTGAGACTGTGCGTGCTCGAACAGTCCAGGAACTTGTCTCACATACAGTGAGAATAGCAGAGGCCCCAACACTGACCCTTGGTTGGGAGCAAACCCATTCCTCAAAAATCATTGCCCAAGTCCCAACCACTATTTTTATCTAATTTAATTGTAAAAATTATCAACTCATGCCTATCAGATGAAGTGCAACCTCTACATTAACATCACGTTGATTTCTGGCGTTCCGACTTGTTCGTGTTCAGTTAGTTTGATGAGGTCGACTATTTCCATGGCAACGGCCTTCTGTTAGACGACTAGATTTTGTCTTTATTATTTGCCGTGTAGCATATTCTCTATGATGAAGATATGCAGGCACCAAGTATTTGAGTTATAGGTCTGCAAACAAGATTAGTGCCAATAAGAAGGGCTAACAACTATTGCGCAGACTGATTTCCAGCCCCATATTCTTACCATAGGAAAACACACTCAGATTAGATGCTTTCGCTAGGCGTAAAGTTGATGCTGAGTTTTGCAGGGCGGATGTAAAGTTGGCTCTAAGGTTTTCTTCACTGCTGTTGCCCGATATCTCTGCAATGTAACCAGCTGAAGCGTCCATATCACACTGTACAGTGATTTCAGTAGAGCTGCAGAAACATATCCACCAGGAAGATCTATCAAGTCTCGTTCCCGTACTTCTCCTTGCAAAATAACCTTTTGTAGAGGATTAAATGAATAACACTGCTGTTTTGGAGAACAACTCATAGAGAGGAGGGCGATATGTCAAAATGTCATAATCTCGATAATTATGATAACATAGGACAACGCAATAGTCCCTGGGAACATGATGAACGTAATCAAATCGAATCTCGCCGCATCCAGGAAGTTCTAGTACATGTAATCATTTCGGTAAGATTTACACATACCTCTGTCCAACAGCCTGATATGAGGAATGAACTATTTTAACGAGTCTTCCCGGAATTATATAGTCGACAATCTGTGAGGAGAGAGACAAAAAAAGGACAACAATGATTTAAAAGCTTTTTGAATTCAGATGGTAAGCCAAGTGTGTATGTGGATGAAAGCGAACTCATTTTCATTCCATGTACTGCCTCAGTACTTCCGGCAGTTTTGGTTCTAAATTGTGCATATCGGATAAATAATTTCAAATTTGCTTTAGTCGGTGGACTCCACTGCTCAGCTTGATGGTCACGGTTTTCTTGCTTTCATACACGAACATGAGTTTTTACTGTAACCAATAATTTATTGGCTCCATCTGTTCTGCAAAATCGAAAGAAACTGCAACCAATGGCTTGTCACTGGCTTCAAGATGAAATTGGCTTTTTCTAATGTCGTTTTCCAGGTGTAGCATGGATTCGTAGATCACTGTACAAAACATACCCTACCTGTGGTTTGAAAAGACCCTTGATTTCGTCCTCAGTTCCACCCAGATATCCACTTGGCAAAGTGAAAATGCCCTGCAAGCCAATACGGGCCACACCTGCGGGAAATAAAACAAATGGATGACAACCTCTACGAACTTAGAAGTTGCGACTTCGGCGGTAATAGTGATGAAGTTGATTGTTCCAACTAGGAACACACGCTTCTTGCCGAACTTGACACTTGACTGACTCAAAACTGCCATCCGGAGCACATCAGGAGAACTTCGCACCTTCCACTCGGCAAACCTGCAAGAAAGCACCACTCCCTGCTCAATACACGGTGTTTCGGGGAAGCTCAAGTACAACTGATGAGGGGTGAATTCCCCGAAACACCGTGTATTGAGCAGGGAGTGGTGCTTTCTTGCAGGTTTGCCGAGTGGAAGGGGCGACGCGCTTCTCGTGTGCTCCAGATGGCAGTCGTGAGTCAGTCAAGTATCAAGTTCGGCAAGAAGCGTGTGTTCCTAGTTGGAACAATCAACTTCATGGATGATAAACTGTTATTGAAATTGTCTGAGGAGGGGATCGTTAATTGCAGATATCAAGCAAGGAAATGTCACAGCCAATCAATAGCACAGTTGTAAAGAGTTTTCTGTATCAGCCCCTGCTTTGTAAATGTATTATGGTTGCAATCTTTTTTTCTACTATGGGCGAACATGAATCGCAAGTGGGACAGAAGCTAATCACTTGCATTGTTCAACTTGGAAATTAATCAACAAAAGAAGTGCTAACTTAGTATATGTACCTTGCACGGTCAGTTGAAACTGCCCTGTGGCCTTATCTACTGTATTGTTCACAGAACATTGGTAGCCACCAATGTGACAGCTTTGAAGATTTGATATGACCAGGATATATATGAACTGGCCTTCATCCATTGGCGTGAAATCCGGACAGTTACTGCTCGGCGCAGACTTAACGCAGTCGCCATTGTTATCCAACCTACACCAGCTTGGCGTTGGTTTCGGATGACCAGTGTATGTACATGGTACTATTACGGATGAACCTTCGAATGACAACACGGTCTTGGGTATGGGAGGGTTGATAACAGGTGCGACTGTATATTTGGAAGACAAAGTAGAAAATTACAGAGTCAGCTGTGAATTAAACCACTCCAGGGATATAGTTTTTCTCCAAAAGTTTTAACACATCAGAAAAGAAGGGACATAAATTGCTATTAATAATAATAATTCAAAGGATCAGTCGGGGAAATGAACTGTCTGAAAAGAGAAAAAATTGCCAGACCCACCAGGACTCGAACCCGGGACCTTGCTTGTCATGAGCCATGCTCTAACTACTGAGCTATGGGACCAGGCTGAACCTAGAAGGCGCTGACAAGATTTTCAATCCAAAGGCAGCCAACAACACGTGCCACACATACTGATGGCACTTTGGTCTTTTTCCCTCCCCCAGGGGACCAACCACGGTCAGTTTCTGGACCCTACCAGAAGTGAAAGAAAGTGATTAATTTTTTGAAAGGATTAGGAGAACTTCAAATCCAAAGCATCAGTCGGGGAAGTGAACTGCCTGAAAAGAGAAAAAAATTGCCAGACCCACCAGGACTCGAACCCGGGATCGTGCTTGTCATGAGAGATCCGCTGCCTTCAGGTCGTGCCGAATCGTGTCTATCCACCGAAATGATTGACGGCCACGGTTTTCTTTATGTCTTTTGTGTTGATGAACATGCTATTGACGAATGTAATTTCCAATAACTGATTATGAAGAAGAGGTTGGTGCGACTTCGGCGATAGTTGGGAAATTGTGTGCCGACGGTTGAGCGACACTGACTCACGCTGCTATCTGGTGTTCACGAGGTGTTTGTCGCGCTGGAAAGGGAGCGTCTCCGTAAGTTTGTATATCTGGTGATGTTTGTGCCTGGAGAGCACTATATAAGTGGTGCCCATCAGGCACAATCTTCCTCAGGCTATTCAAGCCCAACTGATGAGGGGTGAATTCCCCAAAACACTGTGCATTGAGCAGGGAGTGAGTGGTGCTTTCTTGCAGGTTCGCCGAGTGGATGGTTTAATAGACTTCTCGTCTGCTCTGGATGGCAGTCGTGAGTCGGTAAAGTGAGAATTCAAATCGGCAGGAAAACCACGAACTCCCATGTAGGGAGCAACACACACTTCCCCAAATATCTGAATATGTAAAATAAAATAATTTTTCATACAGACCTTGATTGTTAAGATTTCTCACACTATTGTAAGATCATGGAGCCTAAATTACAACTTGATGTCCCAGAAACGAATGTTCAATGTCAATAGGAGCATGAGTGATAATCTTACTTTTGACATTCAACTTCACTTGATTGGATGTGACCACTCCACCAGCATACTGATCTTTGTTACTGGCTTCACACTGATAAGTGTCAGGGTCTGTAACTTTTGTTGTGTAGATTGTCAAGATGTGATCGCCTTTGTGGAAAGAGACGCGTCCAACAAGGTCATCCTTCTGTAGAATCTGCGAGAACAGGTATGCAACGGAATATCACTTCACTTACATGTACACCTTACAATTCTACGTTCTACGCACAAGGAATGGAAGAGATATTAATGGACTTCTTAGCACAAGAAAGACTCTACTGAGTACTACAATTTAATAAGGCCGAGTAAGGAGTGCCAGGAATTAAATTTCAGAATTTAGTTTAATCCCTCATTCTCATATCATCTGTTGCGTAGCCAGGTGCTAGTTTGCGCTCTTTTTTAGCCATTCGTGTGCATTTGTGGGCATGTGTTTGATCGTGTGCTCCTGTGATCAATCAACATTTTGAATATAGAGAACACTAATGGAAAGATTCAGAAACTCCTGAAGAGAGCTACAGTAATACTGATGAAAATGATTCCTAATTTTACAGAAAAGAATGGCTGAGGAATGTATTGATTAGTGCTCAAGACTCATTATAATAATAATAATTATACTACACTTCACTCCCCTGAGTCTGCTACATACTAAGATCTGTCTCTGACATTGAGCACTCTCTGCAGCTCGGGGATCAACGGATTTGTTACCACATTTCACTAGACATCCTTTTAAATTTTTATGAAAAGATTGTAAGTATGGTACTCACCAGCCCATTAGCAAACCAGGTTACTCTTGGTTTAGGTATACCATACACATTGCACGTGAATTCAACCGTCTGTCCTGCCAATACTGCCTGATCCAACGTTGGCTTAAGCACCTTTGGTGGAACTGCAACCAAAAGGACAGACGCAGCTCAAAAGGGTTAATGGGCCTCCGATCTGATGCCAGATATGTGAAAATGTTAGGCAGGTGCCAATGGCATCATAATTGTATTTAATAACATGAACTTAAGGCACAAACGTGGGCACCTGTAATCACATAAGATGAATAATGAATGAATAACTGTATCTTCTCTAATTAAAACTAATCTTTTCGCTTCCAAATACCTCAACTTATGAAAACATCGAAAAGTGTGCAGTTGAAAGAACATGGTCAAGAGACCATCCGGTTTTGCACATTTGATTAGGAAAGTTGCATATTGAGCCCTCACATTTACTGCAAAGTATGTGTAGGATCCTTTGCATCGCATAAACTTTCAAATTTTTCACAGTTCACCTGTGACTCAGTTAGATTGAGTTTTCAGCAGCCATAGGAACGCCACCACCCAAGATAGATCACCGGCGCCAGTGAATATAGATTGAGTTTCAGAATACGATTGAACGCCAGCACGTTGAAAGGATAAAAGGCTGGGAGACTGAGTATATCAGCTCACCAGTAAAGTGATCAAACGTAGTACTGAAAATCCCATTCCCTTCATCCATGTGTCCCTTGTGCCAGGCTACGAGTTCTTATAAATTAAATATGTCGCGGGCCCGTCTGGAACCTGGTACAGATGCTCAATCGTTAAAACGAGTTCGGTTAGTACATTAACCTCGTTAGTAAATAGAAATCTGAAATCCCTTGGTGAAATGTGGTCTATACAATTGTGTACAGGTTCGGTTACAACATACTTCGTAAGTGCACAAAATTCCTTACAACGCCCATTTGCCCAGGTCCCTGGGGTGCCAAACCCTCAGTTTAAGATAATAATGACCATGCACGACCAACACCAAAACACATAGGTTAAAGCAGAAAGGCACAACGTATTACCTATGTAGTCATAGATTAATACTGTCTTTTGCTTTTTGCCCACCGCTCATGAGCTGCATCTGCGCCTTGATCCAAGGGGGTGGTGGCGTTCCTGCGGATGCGGAAAACTTGGCCTTTGGCCGAGTCTCACGCGAATCGTGAATTTTTTTTGCTTCCAGACGAGAGCTATGTTGGAGATTTTTAAGTATTTTCGTTAACAAATATTTTGATTTACCAGATAATATTCATTAACGAGGGATGACCTGAACGCTCTCTTTCTCAGTCAAAATCTTAGACCATGCCAATGTGCATACATGCCTATATCTATGGTCGAGGCATACACTAATACACTACTGACTGTAAGACCACTACTATTAACGAGCATTTAATGCTCAAGATTTAAGGTGGCAGACTACTACCCAAAATTCGCTGAAAAATGTAGGTTTGTAACGGGCAAACCAAAGTTATCATGCCACAGAAGCACTCGCGGCCAGCACCTCGCAGGCAGTCCGCAACGCCGGCTGTCATCGTACATCGTCCCCAAGCAAGGGAAAATGGCACATGCGCAAGCGTGGGACTCGCAGCCTTACTGGCAGAGAACAGCAGCCAGACCTTTCTATGCAAACAAATTTGTTTGAGCACCTTGGCTTGCAATATCAGCAGTGTTGTGCGAATTTCGCGAATTTTCTACCTAGCCTATCATGAGTCGTTTTCAAACAGCAGCACCAAGAGATCCGCGAGCTAATCCGCTCCTCCATCCGAGAAGCCAATTCCGGGGACGACTCTGGCGAGCCGGATGCTGAGATCGCCTGCGCACAAGACCTGAACTCGGCAGGTACAGTGGTCCCTCTATAATCCGGCACCATTTGTGCCACGAAAATCTGCTGGATTAGGGAGGGTGCTGGATTTACAAATCTGATTTACTGCTGCAATGTGCATGAAGAGGATATTTTGGCTACTGAAAATTGTGCTGGTTTATCGAGGGTGCTGGATTATAAAGTGCCGGATTAGAGAGGGACGACTGTACTAGGTAGGCTTGACTCTGACGTGTCTGTACATGCACCTCCACCACATGCCCACACCCGTCCCCTGTGTGTTGCACATGTGGCCGAGAGTGGTGGAGAAAGTGCTGCGAGGGGAGTTCGTAGATTTAGCACTCCTCCTCAGGCTCCTGCGCCCCTCAGCAGTGCCCCCTGAACCCTCAGCCAAACGTTTCAGGCTCGAGAACGACTCGGATGGGTCAGTAAAGCTGGCCCCAGCATAGCAGAAACAGCGATAGTCGAGTATAGACTGTGGCTTAGGCCGAAGCGTGGGCAGTGCTGTCCATCATTGTAGGCATGCAACGCACACACTACCTGAACAAACTGTTGGTAGACCAGCATCACGTCCTAAGGGTGTTAAGAGAGCATGTCTGAGAATACCAAAGTATGTGTGCAAGTGGATCTCTCCGATTTCGCTCAAAATTTGCAGGTAGGTTCCCTTTGGGGTGTGGATCGATTATGCAAAGCCCTTGAAAAAGTTTCTGAAGGGAACCTTGAAATTTGCATACCCCTCAAAAATGGCCGAAATATCACATTATTTATGGGTCTAGAAACGAGTCACGCCACAGCTTATACGAACAAGCTATGAACAAAACTCCATCAAGCCAACATTGCCTCACCTTAGAAGAGTTCCTGGAGCAGTACCGCTTAGCCACGCCAGCATCCAAGAAGACGAGGTCCATCACCCCCTGACGCCACAAATGATCGTCTTGAAAATAGCCAATTTACAAGCGCTGGCAAAACAGCCAGCTACGTCCTCAATTGGCCAGAACTATACACCGGCAGATAGTAGAACACCTCTTCTAGCGCTGAGGACATGTCCCCCATCTTCCTTTTGGGGTTTTCTTGAAATAAACTTTTTTGAATTTTTCCACTCGACCATGCTGAAATACGGCCAAAGTCATACCTGCGCAGGAAAGCTCGCCACTCCGCGACGTCTCCTCAGCAATTTCTACTCCAACACTACTCCCAAGGCCGCAGAACAAAGTGTAGTGTTGACTCTGACAAGGAAAAGCAGCGGTGATCACTTGTCACTCCAAACGACAAGCTTCTCCTTGCGCCACCAATAATTTTTTGTGCGACTGTTGCTGCAAAAGTGACTGAAGGCCTGAGCGCAGTTTTTGAATTTTATTGCAAGATGCACGGTGAAATCACGTGCCTTGTGACGCAAGAATGCCAAGTCGCGTGGCCCACGGCTCACGCGATTTCAGAGTCACCTTTGTCAAGTGCGCTTGTTACTCGCCTTGAACGCCCGTTGGTCTGGAAGTGTTGACACTTGTGCTGTTACGGCGCTCAAGAACACGCTGACCGCGTGTTGTAGGCCTACGAACCGGGACTTTCCCTGACCATGTAGGTCGAAGACCAGTGAAATGATGATGAAATCACATTCTTTATGACGTAAGAAATCTCTCATGCAGTTCACGCGACAAGTGCGTGCAGCCAGTGCTGCTCGCGTGCCAGTCAACACAAAGGGACCGAGCTAGTCGCTTTTGTCGAGCATCGACATGAAAACAAGGGACTTTTACTGTTGGACTATGTTCGGGATTGCAGGAGGTAAGTGTGAAAGACGAATAACTCTCCATGCTGTACGGGGCATATTCCGACGGCTTGCTGCCATTGCAACACTCCTACTGTCCTAGGACAGTTTGTGGGGGTTCTCAGCAGTTCAAGCAGGAAATGAAGCTCATCTTACCACTGCCATCATGGTCTGTTCCGAGTAGCGTTCCAGGCACATTCGCGATCGATGGCCGCGTAACGTGATGCAGGAAGCGTCATCCTACGTCACAGAGCACGCGATCTCACCGTGCATCTTGCAATAAAATTCAAAAACTGCGCTCAGGCCTTCAGTCACTTTTGCATCAACAGTCGCACAAAAAATTATTGGTGGCGCAAGGAGAAGCTTGTCGTTTGGAGTGACAAGTGATCACCGCTGCTTTTCCTTGTCAGAGTCAACACTACACTTTGTTCTGCGGCCTTGGGAGTAGTGTTGGAGTAGAAATTGCTGAGGAGACGTCGCGGAGTAGCGAGCTTTCCTGCGCAGGTATGACTTTGGCCGTATTTCAGCATGGTCGAGTGGAAAAATTCAAAAAAGTTTATTTCAAGAAAACCCCAAAAGGAAGATGGGGGACATGTCCTCAGCGCTAGAAGAGGTGTTCTACTATCTGCCGGTGTATAGTTCTGGCCAATTGAGGACGTAGCTGGCTGTTTTGCCAGCGCTTGTAAATTGGCTATTTTCAAGACGATCATTTGTGGCGTCAGGGGGTGATGGACCTCGTCTTCTTGGATGCTGGCGTGGCTAAGCGGTACTGCTCCAGGAACTCTTCTAAGGTGAGGCAATGTTGGCTTGATGGAGTTTTGTTCATAGCTTGTTCGTATACGCTGTGGCGTGACTCGTTTCTAGACCCATAAATAATGTGATATTTCGGCCATTTTTGAGGGGTATGCAAATTTCAAGGTTCCCTTCAGAAACTTTTTCAAGGGCTTTGCATAATCGATCCACACCCCAAAGGGAACCTACCTGCAAATTTTGAGCGAAATCAGAGAGATCCACTTGCACACATACTTTGGTATTCTCAGACATGCTCTCTTAAGCATTCTACCCTCAGCAAGAATCTTAGATCAGCTTTTGACTATCCTGATGTTGTGGATGCTCACCTGGGGCAAGACAGCATGTCTTGGTGTCATGCCAAATAAATCGGGTGGACATCGCTTGATCATGGATCTTTCAGCCCCGGAAGCTGGTCCGACCCGTGCGCATGCGCTAGTCGTGTCTCTTGCACTGTCATTGCTGTTTTGACTCTGGAGCATGCAACTTGCGGAACATTTGTTCCCACACACTTTCCTTCCCACCCTCCCACCCGCTACCTCAACTCACGTTTCTGGCGCACACATGACGTTGTATTTCTCGCTCAACATGTTTCGGTTGCATATACGCCATCGGGCGTGTTCTTTATCTCTTGCCAATATGTGCTTGCCATGCCTACATGATGCCAAATCGCCATTGGGGTTATACACCCGTTTTTTCCCTCATTCATGCGTCCGTCGGCGCGTGGGTTTTTT